ACTTAATGTTACTAAATCAAATTGCTTTTCTTTGCAGGCACTGTCAGTGCTGAGGCACTCGTTGTTATCCTTCAAACGTCCCCGCGTCACAGACATGTTAAAGCTTTACTTCTTATATTCTTTGCAGTTCCTGGTGAAAGAGGTAGGAAGCAACTTCTCTCTCCCCACTTCTCTCTCTCTCTCTCTCTCTCTCTCTCTCTCTCTCTCTCTCTCTCCCTCACCTCTCTCTGTATGTGTGTGTGTCTGTGGTGTGGTATGTATATATGTGTGTATAATAGATATGCTACTATCTATATTTTTAAAGTACCAGACTTAATTTTTTTTAATTAAAAAAAAAACTTTTATCTACATATGTGTCATGTGTGAGAAGATGTTATGTGGGTATAAGTGCTTGTAGAGACAAGAAGAAAACATGAGAAGGCCTGAAACTGGAGTTGTAGCTAACTGTGAGGGTCTCAATGTAGATTCTGAAAAAACTGAGCTCAGGTTGTCTGGAAGAGCAGCAAGTGCTGCTGACTGCTGAGCCAGCTATCTGTCTGACCCTAGATTTTTGTTTTTAACCACATTTCATTATTGTAAACCTTAGAAGACAATACACAATGGGTACTGCTACTTGTAATTTGTGTAATTTTAAAAGTTGGGCTACTTGGTGGTTATAGCCTTATTGGCATGTAGTATTTTAAACTGATAATGGATAATCTACTTGTTACTAATTCTGTGAGTTGAGTCAAACTAACAAATTATTTCTGTTCTCTAGGGACATATAGATCAAGAAGGTAACCCTACAGGGTTTGCTGGCCTTGTATCACATTTACATTACCATGAACCGTCTAATCTTGTTTTTGTCAGTTTTCTTGTAAGAGGTCTTTTCCATAATCTCTGTCAGCCAACTCATGAAGGTAAGTTTGAGGGTTATATAGTGTGTATGTGCATGTGTGTATAATCAAAATAATATTTTATTATTATGTATATAGTATATAAAGATGTGTCATTATTAGTATAGATTATTATCAAATGATATATAATATATTATATATATGTAAAATTATATGTATATGTGTATAAAATCTTCCCATGCTAGGAAAAAAGGAGAATGATAATTATATAGGCCAATTATGGGTTTGCAAATAGGATAAAGTGAAATCAGTAGTAATAGATGTCCTATACTGTGACAATGATTTTAAAATATTCACCACTGTAAGTTGTGACTTGAAAAGTGTGTTTCCTCCAGGATTCTGAGCATACTGCATAATATACAATATTTATAAACCCTTTCCTTGCAATTAAACATATGATCAACTTTGAATAACAGCACAGGAAAACACTTAAAATATGAAATCCAAAATTCTACCCTCAGATAATAACTATTAATATCTGTAAATATTGTCTGCAGCACTATTTTCTTTGAATATAATTGTACAGTATACATCAGCATCTGATATTGCATTAATTATGTTTACTAGATCTCTTATGCATAACAAATTTTGCCCATCTTGGGCATAGTCATTATAACAAATCCCATACAGTTTTTCTGGGAAAACATTTGGGTTCTACATTTCAAAATAAATATTTTAGAGTATGTCTCTGATACATGTAAAAATAAATTCTTTACACCATGTCTCTGAAATAAATATTGCTCTCTCCTAATATTTGTGCTTAATGTTGTGATATTTCCTGGTGCATGGTGACCTCAAAGCTTCCTGCTTTGTCTTCTGTCCCTTGCTGTTGGAAGTATTTTTTGCTTTGCACAAAACCTGTTGACTTTATGTTTTAAAAAATGTATCATTTTGTGGCTACTCAGAATGTTTTGTTTCCTCAAAATTTGTAACAGGTGAAATTATTTCAGGCAACAGAAAGTGTTGTTGTGTTTATTGTTGGCAGATATAGCCAAAATTGATAACTTTATAAAGAATGAATACAGAGATTAAATAAGAGGATGTGCTTCTCACCTTTTAAGAAGTCAGAGCCAATACTCAAGCATAACTGGCCTGATGCTAGGTCCCAATTGTTGATTATCACAACTTTTAAAGCATTCCTACTATTTACATGCTGCTGACATGCAGTGCCTTGAGTCACTGTGCCATCTGAGTTGAGGAAGTTTATCTGCAGGTTTAGTTTTGGATATTTTTCTGGTAAGTATCAAGAAGTTATAAGACATTATTGACTAGGTGAGAGAGGCTATCATGGTTTGCATAAGCATGGCCCCTATGGGCTCAATACTTGCTCACCAGGGAATGGCACTATTTGAAAGAATTAGAAGGCGTAGCTTTGTTGGAGGAAATGTGCAGATGGACTTTCTTTGTGACTGTCTGTGTCAAACAATGACTTATTATTAATCATGAAATTATAACTCATGGCCTCAACTTACACTAGTCCCATTAGCTCTTATAACTTAGATTAATCCATTTGTACTAATCTACCTTCTTCCATGTGGTGCTACTTCTCTTCCATCTTACACCTCTTGTTTCTTCTCTGCGTGTGACAGGTGACTCTACCTTTCTCTTTCCCAGAGTCTTCTCTGACCCCAGAAATTTCATCTATACATCCTGCCTAGCTATTAACTATTCATCTTTTTGTTACACCAATTACAGCAAATACATTTTCACACAATGTACAAATATCTCACAAAAGAAATATGTCACTCAGGGTTGGGTTTTGAGGTTTCAAAAATTTATCAAGTTCAGAGTCTCTCTCTCTCTCTCTCTCTCTCTCTCTCTCTCTCTCTCTCTCTCTCTCGGATCTGGTGCAGCTCCTCATTAACTTGGCAACTGGCAGTTGCAATAGCAGGATCTCTGTGGTAGACTGAGTAGGAATGATCTTTACAGGCTCATATGTTTGAAAGCATGGTTCATTTGAGAATGGCACTGTTTGGGAGGATTAGGATATATGGCCTTGTTAAAGAAGGCATGGCCTTGTTGGAGGCAGTGTGTCACTGGGGGTATGCTTTAGAGTTTTGAAAGCTCAAGCCAGGCTCACTGTCATCTTGCTGCCTGACAATGCAGATGTAGAACTCTCAACTGCTTTTCCAGCACCACATCTGCCTATGTGTTGCCATGCTCCCTGCAAGGGTGAAAATAAACAAAACCTCTGAAACTGTAGATAAGCCCCAATTACACGCTTTCTTTTATAAGAACTGAAATGGTTGTTGTGTTTCTATATAATCATAGAATTGTGACAAAGACAAAGACATCATAATTTGGTCAGCCACTGGGAGATAGGGCAAAATAAGCAAAGTCTAGATCAAAACATAAGAATATTTGTAGTAGGAAAGATAAGGATGCTAATAAAAGCAAAATCAGGAATTAAAAAAGGCACAGATGAAAAGCATCTGCTGCTGAAGTTATTCTACATTTGCTATGAAATGAACATAACAATATTTTAAATGTGAAAAAACTGATGTAATAATTTTCACATACATAACATGAAACTTTTTTTTTACAGGCTCAAAACATTTCTCTGAAGATGTGATGGAAAAGCTGGTCTTAGTATTGGCAAACCTTTTTGGAAGAAGATATATTCCAGCCAAGTTCCAAGATGCTAACATCAAGTTTTATCAATCAAAGGTAAAATCTTCTGCTAAAATTATTAACAATAATACACAGATCCTGCCAGAAATGATTCAGTAGCAATAGGGTTTTATGAATGTGGGTTAATTAATGCACTTTATATACTAATTTGCTTCTTTTGAAAATCATGTGATATTTATCTGTAACTTAAAAGTCCCTCTGTGAATCCGTGCAAAGGTTACATGCCTTGAAGATAAACAGGATGAAAGTACAGTCATGATTTTAAATGATTGCATCAATATACAACATAAGTGAACAGATGTAAAAGGCCTGGGAAGATGACTTGATACAGTTCTTGCCATGCACTCATAAGGATCTGAGTGTGGATTCCTAGTACCCATATGTAAAGATGTACATGGTGACACACTTTGTTATCCCAGAACTAAAATGGCAGAGAAATGTGGATCCCCGGAGCTGGCTTGGGCAGGCTAGCCTAATTGGAGAGCTATAGGAATGGTGAGAGGCATTGCTTAAAAAAATATGGTGGAGAGCACTCAAACACATATTCATGTACACACATATGGAAATGCAGATAATTACACTTTTAAGCCCCAAAGCCGCCTACATTGTTTGAACGAGTGTCTTGAGATATGACTGTATGTCACAGTGTCATCTCTGAGAAAGCATTACAAAGCTTTCTGGGAAACTGTCCTTTGACTCCTAAAGTCTAAATCGTAGAACAGTTTTACAATTTAATATTATCATCTTGTTTGGTCATTTTTGAAAAGGTGCATTTGTCTGTTTAATTAAAACAGTCGTATTTATTTCCATGAGATCTTTCATAGCACCCTTTCTGCTTTTCTTGCTGCCTTGAGTTGACTCTTTAAGGAATGTCCATGTAACTTCCTGATGTAGCACTGATGCCATAGGTGATAAAGGCAGAAGTCTTTTCTGCACAATTCTTCAGGTCCAGAAGTCTTAAATAAAGATATATTGTGGAGGCATGCTTTATAGTTTGCAGTTTACCATCAAAGAACTACAAAAAAAAAAGAAAATTAGAGATTATAGCACTTCCATGTTTACAGGTTGAAAAATAAATTGTGTTAACCCAATGAAGACAGTGAGAGTTTCAAAACCTCTCAATCAGGTGCAGTTGATTCTGAACCTGAAAATATGCTCTATCTTCTTTGCTCTACATACCTGTTCCTAGATCCTTTGAAGTCCTGAGTCCAGTAGCAGTTGAGGACATGCTTCTGCTCTTACAAGAGCTGATTTCATTAGGGAGCTTCAGAGCAAGTGCTATGAGTAGAGCATTTGTTTTTCAAGTGCAAGTAAGAACAAAAAAATTAACCTCAGTTCAATCAAGAAAAGAAGAAAAAGTGGTTTTATTGAAAACAATAAAGTTATACTGTGTGGTCTTTTACTTTCAATGCTTCAAATTCTCAGTTTTTAAGTAAGGTGTTCTCTGCTCTCTGAAAAACCTTTGGGATTTAGGTGTTCCTTGATGACCTCCCTGAGGACTTCAATGAGGCCCTGCTTGAGTACAACACACAAGTGACAGAGGACTTTGCTGCTTTTCTGCTAATTGTGTCCCGATTGGCTGATATGAAACAGGAATATCAACTCCCCTTGTCAAAAATTGGTAAGTGTGTTTCAGTTCCCTGTGGAGCAATTTAGTAATAATCCTGCCCAAGGAAATGTATGGATGGTAGGGATGCAGGTCATTGGCTCCAAGTCTCCAATTCTACCATTTTTATCTCAGAAGGCTGGCACTTCAGAAAAGTCAGTTTGCCTTAGAATAATTGGGTTCTTTCTGGAGAAAATAAAAACTAAAGGAGGTTAGTGATTGGCAGTTAGAAGGGCAGTGGAGAAGGAAACTAAATCCAATTTGAATCACTTATAAATAAATGGTTTTGATTGAGGGCCAACTTTAGTTCTAGAAAATGAAGCAAAGATGTCTCTGAGACAAGAGAAAAAGAGTCATTCATTATTATTATTATTATTATTATTATTATTATTATTATAACAATTTTATTTTAGATGCCAATCCCAGTCCCCTCCCCATTCTCCTGCTCCTCCCACCTTCTTTCCACCCCTCCTCCATTCACTCCTCACAGAAGTGTCGCATGACTGGAGGCAGGACCAACCCCCAACACCATCCCCAGGATCTAGGTGGAGCAAGGCATTTCATGATAGGGAATGGGTTCCTGAGAGTTCAAGTCCCACTGCTAGTGGCCCCACATACTACCCAACCCACACAACTGGCGCCCACTTCAGGGGGCCTAGTTTGGTCTTATTCAGGTTTCTTTGCTCTCAGTCCAGAGTCAGTAATCTCCCACTTGGTCTACTCTGCTCTTTCTGTGGGTCTCCCCATCATGGTCTAAAAACAAAAACTAAAGGAAGAACAAAAGGGATCTATCTCAGCCTGTTCTGATCAGAATTCACAGGTAAGGAACGTGAAGACTCGCCACTTGCGTCTCACCTGATGAGCTGCAGGGAAGGAAGGACGGCAGTTTCACCATTTGTTTGTCTGTCTGGAAACTTTGATGTGGATTTGCTTCGTCCAGGAGTTTCAGATAACGTAAGTAAATTGTGATGTTCATTAATCAGTCTCTCGGGGGGGCTTGCTCCAGTCAGAGTCGTATACTGTAACAGACTGCTGTCGAGGCTGTGGAAGGCAAGCATACAGATGATAAAATATTACACTTTCCATTGTATGAAAAGTGTTTTCATTTATTAATTAGTTTTCCAAGATCAATCACAGATCACAGTTTTGCTTCCCTTCCCCCCTTTCCTGCTAGTTCCTCTCCCACCATTCCCTCTCTCCTGCCAGCCATCCATCCCACGTTTCTTTCCAGAAAATCTGGGTCTCCCATAAATATCAGCCAGCCATAGCATAATGAGAAAAAAAATTAAAGGAAAATAATTTTTAGGAGTTGTGACTTCTTTATTTTGTATGGATGACTATAAAAAAAAACTGGTTGGATGTGTAAGAGATTAGTAGTTATGTATGTTGAAAAAGCAACAATAATTTTTATGCATTATCATTTCCTTTCCCAAGATGGATGTAATGGCTCATGCCCATCACATAACTAGGGATGCTCAGCTTAACTGGGGCTGCTTAGACAGGAGGGCTGCTACATATTTGACTATTACATAATGAGTTTCAGGCAAGACTTTGTAGAAGGAGAGAGCTGCTTGTTGGTTCCCATTGCCCAGAACCAAAATAACCTCACATAAACTACATCAATTAAATCACCGTTTGGCCCATTAGCCCTAGCTTCTTATTTGCTAGCCCTTATATATTAATTTAACCCATCTCCATTAATCTGTGTATTGCCACATGGCTGTGGCTTACCAGGTAAAGTGCCCAGCATGTGTCTCTGGTGGGCAAATGGCTTCTCTCTGACTCTGCTCTTCTTTCTCCCAGCATTCGGTTTTGTCTTCCCCACCTACTTCTGCTCTACTCTGCCATAGGTTCAAACCAGCTTTCTTTATTAAATAATCATATTCACAGAATACAGAGGAGAATCCCACATCAAGGCTATAGTACCTTCCTGTTTCAAAATGAGAAGGGAATGGAGGAAGAAGAGGAGAAGGGAGAAGACAATAGCAAAATAATTCTGTTCTCTGTTTATTATGCAATTAACTCAATTTATGAAATGTAGCAACCACCTTTACTTTCTTTCTTCCATGTAGGATTTCCATGAAAATTCAGATGGGTGTTTATACAATAAGAATTATCTAGAAAGTCTGAGTCTTGTTGCTGCAGTATCAGCATCTATTAGAAGGTGCATGCATGAATTCATTTCCTCTCAGCATCAATTAGAAGAGACTTAGGTGCATGCCTGAGTTCCCATGAGGGTTCCCACTTACCCTCGCTGCCCACAGAGTTCTAGAAAGCAGCTTCTGCTTCTGTTTCCTTCATTTTGAAGCATCTGTTATAGGTATTTAGACTCATTTTACTTGAATATAGCCTGCTTTTTGCTTGACTTAATTCATGTTATATAAATTTGTTTTACTACAGTAAGTAAATAAGTTGCAATCTCTAGAAATTTCACTTACTTGTATTATTTGTTAGTTTAATGCTATATTCTAGTATCTCTGGGTGGCTTATGAAGAGAGGAACACACATGAAATGAGGACTCATGCCTCTCCTGTATTTTATTTCCTTGTGATCCACTAAAGTTGCCTAAATTTCCAAATTCTTCTGAAAATAATTCATTTTATAAATTACTATTTTTTATGCTTGTGTTTAATTTTACAAAAGTAAAGGGATGGTTAATTGTACTCTCCTGAAAGTATCTTGTCTTGTGTTTTGTTTTATGTCTGTAAGATTCACCCATGATTTTGTAGTTATTACTTACTAGCTCTTATAACTTAACCTATAATTCTTATCTATGTTTAGTCATGTGACTTGGTACCTTATATCAGTGTAGCATTCTCATCTTGCTTTTTCTGCTTCTGGATGATGACTGCATCTCTGCCTTTCCTCTTCCCAGAATTCTCTTCATCTGATTGTCCTGCCTACATTTGCTGCTTGGTTAGTAGCCAATTAGCGTTTTATTAAACCAATATTAGTGACAAATCTTTACAGTGTACAAGAACATTATCCCATCGCACTTCCCCCTTTTTCTTTTCAAAACATGACCCTGAATCTCATCTCCTTTATTTAGCTGCCTATTTTTTGACCATTGTCCATAACAACTTGTAACCAACACACTAAACAAAGACAAACATCCATAATCCATTTTTGGGGAATGTGAACATAGTTTTCTAGGATACTTCCTGATGACTGGGGACACTGGTATTCTTATGTGGACCAAAAGAAAATTTAGGATTATGATCAAGTCTTTAGGATTATGGAATATTCTGTGAGGCTGAATCATCTCAGCCAGCAACCTTGAAACTGCTCTGGATGTAGATCTCTGAAGAAACTGCATCTTCTGAAATGTTGGATCATCTGTCTGTTCCCATCAAAGATTTTTCAGGAGGTCTTCCTCAATCAAACCTTATTTTTCTTAATGAAGAATAAAGCCACAACCTCTCATTTCTTGTGGAAATGAAAGCAAAACCTCTTCTCCAAAGTAACTTATCTTTTGACTTAAAATTTGAAGTCAGGGCATTTTCAAAATATATAGGTTCTGTTAATCTAGCAGTATTTATAATTCAATGTCTTTTAGCAGCTGTTGTTCCTTCCGCAGCTGTCAAACAATTCAGAAACATACAATATCCAGATTCTCTGTGTATTTTCCATCTTCACATCGCTTTTTTTTACACTATTTCTTTTCTTTTCTTTTCTAACTTTTGTTTTTTTTTAAGACAAGGTTTCTCTGTGTATCATTGACAGTACTGGAAGTCATACTGTAGACCAGGTTGTTCCCAAAATCAGAGAGATATGCCTGCCTCTACATCCCAAGGGCTGGGATTAAAGGCATGTGCCGCCATTTCCAACTATCTATTTCTTTTTTTTTTTTTTTAGGACTTTTTCTATCCTTTTTCTTTTCTCTCCCAAGTTTATGTATAGTTTCAAACACACTGAAAATTATTTAAAGAGTTTTTTTCCCCCTGGTCTGAATCTGTCTTCATGTATATGTCTGTCTCTTTTTCTGGCCACATAAATCTTTAATCTAAGTGGCATGACTAGGATTAAAACAGCAGCTTTGGCAGATGGATTCACCTCACTCCTTGGATTCCTGAGAGTCTAGCTTCATGGTGGAGGTACTAGCTATGTTAGGTAGGAGCTACATTTTTTTGCCACAACTCTGTGGAGTTCCTAGGACCATGCCACCACCAAGAGGCATGCTATCAACTGTTCATAAACAACATTTAAGTGTATGGTGACAGGCCTCTTAGAAGAGCTGGGAGTTTTTCACTGCTAACTCTGAGTCAAGAAGCCTTTTTTAAAAAAAGGGAGTCTTCCTCTGAACACAGCCAGAAAACAGAGCCTACTGGAGTAAAGATGGTTATTGAAAAACTGGGCTTGACTTTGTTCTTATCTGTCTAGAATCCTTTTTTTTTTTTCAAGTTTTCTCCAGATTTACATAAAAATTCTTGCCAAATCTTTGGGTGCCATTTGTAGACAGAAGTTGTTGTCCCACCATCTCACAGCAATTCAGTCCCAAATAAACACACAGAGGCTTATATTAGTTATGAACTATTTGGCCTATTGTCCAAGCTTATTACTAACTAGCTCTTACAACTTAAATTAACCCATATCATAAAATTATGTTTAGTCGTGAGGCTTGATAGCTTTTTTTCAGTAAGGCATTCTCATCTTGCCTCCTCTTTTTCTAGTTGATGACTCCATCTCTGCCTTTCCTCATCACAGAAGTCTCTTAGTCTGGTTGCCCCATCTATACTTCCACTGTGGCTACAGGCCAATCAGCATTTTAGTTAACCAATACAAATGACAAATTTACAGTGTAAAAAAGCATTATCCCACAGCATGTTTTGACATGAAGCTCTAATTTATTTTCTAAACACCATAATACTTCGTAATATAAAACTATACATTACTCTGCTTTCTGTTAATGTTTGGTCAGTCTTTAATTCTCTGTTGATACAAAGAGTAGTATTAATGTTTGGTATTTGTGTGCTACTTTCTGTTAGGTGTAAGTGTGCTTCTTTCTCTTAGTGTAA